TCAGCTCCCTGAATTCTGACCATCGGCATGGTGCAAACGCATCAGCATCAGTGCATGACTGGCATCTGCACTGTGCCAAGTTCCCCCACTGTCTTGCCCCACTCCTGGTAAGTAACAGTGACCCAGCTGCCAGGAAGCTGGTGTAGCACCTCTGTCCACCCGACATTAACTTTTTAATGTTTTGGCTTTTTGGAAAAGACAGCTGACTCATTGTAACAGCTTTGGCACATATAGAAACCATGGCTTTTTCATCTGTAGTAGTGGTTGGGTTGTTCTCTGCAGATTTCGCTGTGAGACGCTTTCAAGAGCAGATGAGACAGGCTGCTTTCGAAACTGAACAACTTGGGTGTCTAGGTGTCTAGGTTTTTATTTACTTTTTATTGCCAAGAAAACTGAGCTTGATTGTGGTTGATTCACTACTCCTGGAAGATGTGCAGTAAATTAAGAAAGTCAGATATAATGTACATTAATGGGCTATGTTTACTTACCATCTATATCTCGGTGACACTTGCTTTCATTTATACCACTAAGTATCTTAAACAACCTCTTTGTAAATGTCACGAATATGCACAAATTGTCTCCCATGTGTCTCTGCCTGGCAAAATGCAAAGGAATGACAAAATACTATATCCATTGTTACCCCTGTTTAGAGCAGCCCCTTTGGAATTAGTGGCTGTGACTTAGGCCCCGTCTGCACTATACATTTAAAGCAGTATCGTTCCACTTTAAGCAGTTGTGGCTTCCCAAAAAGAATGCTCAAAATTATGATTTGTTAAGGTTGCTGAGAGATATTAGGCACCACCTGTCCCCATCCCTCCAACCAAGGCTACAATTCTCAGGTTAGTTTAGCAATCAAACCTTCTTTTGGAGGTGAACTATGAGAATTGTAGCTCTGTGGGGGGAATAGGGGTATCTTAAGAAATCACTGTTTAAAGTGGTATGAAGTTGCTTTTATGTGTGTTGTGCAGGTGAGGCCTAACTTAAGTCCATTCATTTCAGTGGGTCTACTTGGACTAGAACTTGGTTGGATACAGCCCTGTGCAAATGGGATTGGGACGCTCTCACATAAATATCCCCAGTCCTGAGCAGGAGGCATATCAACATGGAAACCCCCAGCACAGAACACACTTTAAAAAGGAGGAGGGTGCTTTGTTTAGCTCCAATAATTTCTCAGTAGCTGAAGTCTATGCAGTTGCCAGGACTGAGTGTGAAATGGTGTGTGTGTGTGTGTGTGTGTGTGTGTGTGTGTGTGTGTAATGCCCCCATAGGGTGCTTTTTCAAGGGAGCTCACTGCTGCTTCCTTCTCACTTGGATAGATGCATGATGCCAGCCCAATACATTTTGCTGCCTGAAGCTGCCAAAATGGTACTCCCCATCCACCGTGGCTGAAACTCTAAGAAGTCTTCCTTCACCATTCAGACACCCAAGTGCCTCCAAAGTGGTGACCTAGTGGGAAAAGGAGCAGGGGTCTGCAGCTTTAATTGTTGAGTAGAATGAAAGAGTTCAAGTATTGTACCTTGCATGACAAGCTGAACCTCCTGAAATGATCTCTTCCACACAACTACTGAAGGTGCAGGAGCTGCGTCTCCTTCTTCACCTCTTGGCCTAGCCATCAATGCCTGCCTTTAGCAATGGGGCTTCCATCAAATAAGTGGTTCCTATATGTTCCTGCAAATGTTCCAACTGTCCGATGGTAAGGTTGCTGGCATTACATCTTGTGGAGGGAAAGGGGAACCATCAGCCAGGACTAGGGAAACTATGGCCATTCAGATATTGCTGGAAAGCAACAGCCATCAGCCCCAGCCAGCATGACCAGTGGTCAGGAAGATGGGAGCTGTAGTCCTGCAACATCTAGAGGGAAACTGGTTCTCCACCAGTGCCATGAGCATTGTGTTTCCAGCAGATTGTACCAAGGAAGGAAGAGACAGGAAGTCTGGCCGCCACTCCAGCAGGAAATGACAGACAAAAACAGGTGTTCGTGTGTCAAGGTCCCCAAGACACCCCCACCCCAATAACACACACTTCACACAGAATTTTTGTTTAAGGTTTTTGGCATAATTTTGGCCACAACTTTATTAACATACATGGATGTGAGTGGTTGCTTAGGCATTGGTTAGGACTATCTGTCCCCCCACCTGGGGACAGAACTGGCTTCCGGATTCCAGCGAAAGTCAGTGAGGGGGAACAATGTTGGGGAGAACTGGAGCTGCGCCACAGGCCCTCAGCTTCTCCCCGCATGCTCCCAGGGGCTTACCTGGCCCGAACCCGATTCCAGGGGTTTGGACAAAAGGATGGCAAGCCCCTGAATTCCTTTAACAGAATTCCCTTGCAGCAGCAGCATTGGAGGGGCAGGCCCAGCCAATCCTTACCCCTCCTCCAACCAATTTTAACCAATGCCTAACTGCAACCTTACAAGTTGTGACGATTTGCTACGCAGTAGGCAAAAACCATATGGCACCAGCCAATCAGCCAAACGGACAAAATTCCTACCAGGCCCCTGCCCCAATGGCAGACGAACCCATGACAGGCATAGCAAGGTCAACGCACAAGACCCAAATTAAGGGAGGGCGGGCGAGTGATCCGGTGCACGCAGCGAAAGAGAAAGCAGATTGCTGCGAGCACTGTTTAAAAAACCTCTGTTCCCACCCCCAAATTGGCAACGTCAAAATTACCCCAGCAACTCAGGCTACCAATCCCTGCCAGAGTCATACCATCCCAAACTGCCCGGCAACAGAGGGGTGTCTTGGCTGGCACCCACCGCAACACGTGCTCTCTTTTAATGAGAACACGCTTTGTGCTAGACCACAAAGCCCATCAGCTCCATTGGAAAAGATGACTAGAGAATAGCATTCATTCCCTGCTGGAGTCTGTTCTGCATGCTGCTCACTCATGCATTCCCAAGGCAAAGGTGCAGCAGGAGGAGACAGAAGAAGGTTTGGCAGCGGAGTGCTTGGCTTTAATGTTCAAAGGGTGCAATGCATTTTCGAACAGACACAAGACTTCATGGCAATTCCAAGTGTCAACCTCGATCTATATTTTTGGCACGTTATTTTTAAGCTTCTGGCTCCTGGAAAGGCTGAAGAGAAGAGTCTGGACAAGAAACGCTACACACTTGAGCCAACATCTTAATTCCTAATATATTCTTAGCAAGCATCTGATTTAATAGCCCTCATAAAACTGAAGGAATTCAAGAATTCATCCAAGTAACAAATACTATAATTGGTTTCAAGAAGTTGAAAATATTTATTCATCCTCAGTCTAATGATTTCATAGCTCTTCTCTGCCTTTGCCAAACCAAAGAGGGAGAAGCCAATGACTTCCTTTTTATAAAAGAATATCAACAAGTAAAAAAAAAAATACGCATCCTAGCTCCAGTGCATCTCCCTCCCTCCTTTAACTCTGACTTTGCAGAATGAGCAACTGTGTGATCTCATTCCAGCAGGTGTTTATTTTTCTCTGTCTACAAAATTCAGGCGTTAGCCACCATACTATGACTGCTTGCCAAATGCTATCAGAATGCTTTGCACAGTGGATAAGAGGCAGCAGTGTATCAGAGGCTGTTTAGTTATTCTGAGTACCGACAGAGGAAAAATTCAATTCAGTGCACATTTAAAGTCCAATCTATTAAATTTGCACTCTCTGAAAAAAATATGCAACCCAAAACACAGCTATCCTTCAAAAGTCACACTTGCCAAAATTTTACAACACAGTTCTCCAAATGATGTTGGTTGGTTCCCCCTCCCTTTCTTCCTAAAATGAACACATTAGAGGAAAGTGTGCTTAAAATGAATATATTAGTAAAAATAACATACTAAAATGCATATTGGTGGAAGGGATTTTTTTTAAAAGAAAAAAATATGTGAGAACCCAGTTTAAGATTGAAAAGATTGGAAAAATGAGAATTCAAGAGAACAAAAAATTGATAGGTCCTTCCATCCTTAGTTCTGAACCCTCTGTTTCTTGTGGTTACTTATTCAAGTGCCAGTGCAGTGTCTCTGACAAAGACTTTCTTATTTATTTATTTATTTATTTAACTAACTAACTAACTAACTAACTATGCATATTCTGCTGTCTCATAAAATATGAGGGTGGTGTACAACAATATCTCAACAATCAAACATGGAAACCCATTAGAAACAGTACACGCTTGTGTCTTGATAGGACCTCAGCTGCTGAGCTGCTGCTGTTCTCAGAACTCAGTCAGATGACACAGGGCTAGTAGTGCCTATTTTTGGTTGAAAGCCTCCCTGTTATGTACAAGGCCCAAAATAGGAAAGACCAGCCCTCTCTGCTCCTTTCTTGTCAATTTATACACTGTTTTTGTTCAGTTTCCTCAAAGTGTCATGATTTCTTTTATCTCTGGACTGCATATGTATTATTTAAATGACTTTGTGAAGGCAATTTCCCCATGAGCAAAGAAGTGGCAGCTTGGGTTGTCAGCCCTGTGTTTGCCATGCAATAGCTATATCTGTCCAGATTTTCTTTTTCGAAAGATTGACCAGAACACACTTGCAGTACAGTCATACCTCGAGTTGAAGTAGCTTCGGGATGAATATTTTTGCGTTGTGCTCCGCAGTGACCCAGAAGTAACGGAGTGCGTTACTTTCTGGTTTCGCCACGCGCGCATGCGCAGATGCTCAAAATGACGTCATGCGCATGCGTGGAAGCGCCGAATCGCGAAACGTGCAGACGTGGGTTGCATTCGCTTCTGGATGCGGACGGGGCTCCGGAACGGATCCCATTCGCCTCCAGAGGTACCACTGTAAATGTAATAATTATAATTTCTAGGGATTCATATTTTTGTACAGCTGATAATTTCCAAAATATTTTTGTACTGTGGATCAAATAGGCATTTGTGTGTGTGTGTTTTGAAATACCTGTGACTATTTATTTGTCATGCTTATTGTGTACTTATCTCCAAAACACTTTATGAGGGTGTACACCTATCTAAATTGCACTTTATGTGCTTTTAAGCTAATTATGAATTAAGGAAGCACATCTCTATTTCCTCAAGTTTATTACATAAGTGGCCAGCATATAGTTTACTGATAATGCTTGGGAGACTAATTGGCCTGTAATTAGCAGGGTCCGATCTGCTCCCTTTCTTGTATATTGGGATGATGATTGCTAGTCCCCAATCCTCTGGGATGGTAGCCGATTGATCTATGCTGGTGAACAAGGCAGCAAGCACTCACTCAGATATATTCCTCATTAGGAGAGACAACCTCTTAAACTCCTCATGCTCTGAAACGAGAATAAACTTGTTTCAGGATTTGATTTCACTTCTTCAACCCTATTTGACACAAAAAAAGGCAACGCGGCGGCCATTATACAACAAATCTAAACCCTGGTTCGATTAGGAATGCCTTGCTATGAAGCGCTCTTTGTTGGGAAAATACAGAAACTATAGGTCTGCCAATCTACCCTCACTCCCTGCAGAGTTGTTTGAAGCTAAACGAAATTATAAAGCTTTGCTTAAAAAGAAAAAGCTTCAGGCCCCAGAGGGAGAGTGGCAATGTTTAATGAAGGCCTCTCGAAGGAGAGACTCAGTCACCTTTTGGAAAATAGTCGCAAAAGGATGGCAAGATTCCCCCTCCAAAGTGGAATATACCATCTCTGTTAGGGTGTAAGAGTCATACTTCCAATCCTTATACACAACTAACCAACATCTCTATTTCCTTGACAGTGAAGAAGCACTGTAAGAGAGATATTGTAATTCCTGTGAGAACACTCTTCTGTGTCTAATGGGTCCTCGCACCTCCCGAACAAGTTATGCTGATTATCTCTCAGATATAATGCAGTAAGATGCGTAGATGTGGTCTAAACCACTGAGCCTCTTGCGCTTGTCTATCAGAAGGTCAGTGGTTCAAATCTGCATGATGGGGTGAGCGCCTGTTGCTCTGTCTCAGCTCCTGCCAACCTAGCAGTTCGAAAGCATGCCAGTGTAAGTAGATAAATAGGTGGCAGTGTTCTGTGGCAGTGTTCTGTTGTGCCAGAAGTGGTTTAGTTATTCTGGCCACATGACCCAGAAAGCTTTCTGTAGACAAATGCGGGCTCCCTTGGTCTGAAAGCGAGACAAGCGCCGCAACCCCATAGTCGCCTTTGACTGGACTTAACCATCCAGGGGTCCTTTACCTTTTTTAAAATTTAACCATTGTTCTAGTAAAGTATTTCTGGATGTTGTACAGCCAATTACAGTATATTGAAACAGAAGTGAACTAGAACAGGTGGAATGAACAACTGAACTGAATATTGTAAATCAAGAGTTGACAGGAGCAGGTCAAAGAAAATGAATGAGCACCAGGAAAACGTGATCTTCAGAAAAATTATATATATAGGTGAAGGGTTTGACATTCTACCCTTAAAATCACTTCAAGGTGCCGCAAGACTATTATTTTTGCTAAAGAGACTACCAGCCACCCCTCTGGAAATTCATCAACTTGGAAAGCTAAATGATTTTTTAAAATGTCTGTTGTTGATTGAGATATGCACATATATTGTCTGCTGTGATATACATTAAAATAAGTATATTTCTGAATCAATAGATGGTGAAACAAAAGAAAGATAAACCAACTGTAGCAGAACAGAAAATACAAGATGAAAGCACAAATGAATGTTGGAACAGGTTGAGTTGCATTTGTAAATCCTTATTTCTAACAAATTCCATAGTTTAACATTAGGCTGTAAGTACTTCTTTTTGTCAATTCTGAATCTCCTACCATTCAGCTTCATGGGATGTTCCCAAGTTCTAGTACTGAGAGAGGGAGAATATTTTCTCCCTATCCATTTTTGCTATACCATGCTTAATCTTATATACCCCACCATCAACTCCATTGGCCTTTTTTATAAAGTAAAAAGTGGTGGCGCTGTGGGTTAAACCACTGAGCCTAGGGCTTGCTGATCGGAAGTTCGGCGGTTCGAATCCCTGCGATGGGGTGAGCTCCTGTTGCTCGGTCCCAGCTCCTGCCAACCTAGCAGTTCGAAAGCACATCAAAGTGCAAGTAGATAAATAAGTACTGCTCTGGCGGGAAGGTAAACGGCGTTTCCGTGTGCTGCTCTGGTTTCGCCAGAAGGGGCTTAGTCATGCTGGCCACATGACCCGGAAGCTGTACACTAGCTCCCTCGGCCAGTAAAGCGAGATGAACGCCGCAACCCCAGAGTCGTTCGCAACTGGACTTAACTGTCAGGGGTTCTTTACCTTTTTAATATTTTTTTAAAAAAAGCTCTAAAGGTTGCAACCTGTCCTCATAGGAGAGATGCACACCCATCAACAGTCCCAACTTGACTGGGACATCCTGGAATTACGGAATCCATACTGGCTTCTGATTGGATGTCCTATTTTTGGTGCTGAACTCTTGCATGAATCAGCTGGCTCCTAGGAGAACTCGGCACTAAATGACACACGTCTTTCGCGCAAAAGAAAGCTACTGAGCCGGAGCCTGTGAAGGGGGAGCTGCTGGTGGTGCAGGCCAGGCTGCCCTTGCCAGGCCCGGATGCAGCTGGGATTTTATGCTTCAGCAGCTAACACATCTGTGCTCACTAACCTGCCCTTGAATCTAGAACAGGTGCAGGGAAGCTTTGCCCCTCCAGTTGTAGTACACCACTCATCAGCCCCAGAAAGCATGACCAATTGCCAAGAGTTGTGGTTCAACATCCAGAGGGCCAAAAGTCCCTCACATCTGTTCTAAAGAACTAAGTCACCTTTTCTATCTAACGTCTTAATCCAGAGATTTAAAAGAACAAAGAATCTTGAGGGGCAAATTATGGCAACTAGGCCTCCATTTCCTGCTTGTCTCCCCATATAGGAGAAGACAATAGAAAGAAGGGAAGATCAGGTCTCTTCTGTTCCAGTCTTCTTTATAGAAGAAGCAGAATGGGCCCAAAGTTTCTGGCAGAAAGTCTTCTGCTCTGGTTGTCATTCCTGGTTCCACCCCCATATATGTAAATAGGGCTCAGAGCATATGATCGACAACTAAAGAATGGGGATGATGGATTAGAGATGCCATGCCATCCTTTTGAACTTTGCACCATGGAAACATTCTGATTGTTATGTACTGGAGCTCTCACCCTGGACCAGCAGGGGGATACTGTAGATAGTTTTCACTCAGGTCCACATATGCAAATAAGGGATCGAAAGTGACGTTCCGTGATTGGATAGGTACAGAAAATGGTTACTGTTGCGTTCTAGTGGAGCTCTATATAAGCAGGCTGGCTGAACCCTTCAGTTCAGTTCTGTTCTGGCTTGTGAATAAACAAGAGCTGTTTGAAGAATCGCTGTGTCATCTGATATGTTCACCCACAACTTAACGCTGACATTTGCTTGAAGCACCATTCTGATTGGCATGGAAGGTGGGGGTGGGGAGAGAGCAGAATTTGTTGGGTTTGGGGTTTCTACACTTTGGAGCATTTCAGCTGTGCAGCTGTGCACATTATGCTTCAGCTTTGCGATTAATAGAGAATTCTGTTAAGCTTCACCAATGAACACTTCTGAGTAAAATTACTGGATGTCCACAGTCTTTGATATACATGAAGCATGATCTACCTTCCTCCCATACAAACAGACAAATGGATACAGTGGAGCCAGTGTGGTGTAGTGGTTAAGAGTGGTAGACTCTGTATTTAGTGTATAAGGAGTTTTTGGTTTTGTTATTAAAACCTTGTTTAAGTTATTTTTGAGTCCCTTTTTAATGCATGGTCTCCCCAGCAAGCTCTCTGCAGCGCTACTACACTGCAAATAGCCAACACTGAGCTGTGGCAATGACCTGGTTTGCCTGGGTGGAGGACTGAGAGATTGTGGGACAGAGTGTGGTGTAGTGGTTAAGAGTGATAGACTTGTAATCTGGTGAACCGGGTTCGCATCTCCGCACCTCCACATGCAGCTGCTGGGTGACCTTGGGCCAGTCACACTTCTTTGAAGTCTCTCAGCACCACTCACCTCACAGAGTGTTTGTTGTGGGGGAGGAAGGGAAAGAAGACTGTTAGCCACTTTGAGACTCCTTTGGGTAGTGATAAAGCGGGATATCAAATCCAAACTCTTCTTCTACTTATAATAGCTCTAGGGAGGAGCGATGTACAAATGCACTGGCCTCCCACTGAATATGGGCTCGTATATGACAATGGCCATATACCTGAAGCCACACCTTGAGGGAAAAGAGAAGGAAGAGGGGTCCACTTAGCCCTATATTATTTTTTTCTGAACTGCACAGTGCTTGTGGCTGTGTGTGGGGCTTCTGCTTTTTGAAACCAGAATATTTATGTGACTACTTAACATACTATAATTTAATGGATTTGTTAGCTTTTGATCGGTTTCTATAGAACATCTTCAAGCAAAAAGAAAACATACACCAAAAACATACTGATGGTACGTTAAAGCATTTAATTGTGAATGTTAGAATGGTTTTCTTAAGACAACAACAGATCTTAAAGTGTAATTAAATTAAAGGATCAGCCTCAATCCCAGAAGATTTGTTTTTTCTTTTCTTTCTGAAATGGTGCTGGTGGGGGGGAAATGTTAATTGAATCTTCTCATTTACACCTTTCATCTGTTTCCGTTCCAGCTGCATCTCCTTTGATACATGAGAACTTGCCCAGTGTGGCACTTGACAGATCTCTACTGATTAAAATAGTAATTTTGTAAAATTGCTACAAATTGAGACAAAAATGAAAGCGGGGTCTTTTGCCCTTATAGGAAAACAAAACTATTTTTGTCTCTTTGTTTATTCAATTAATCTATCTATATATATATATTTTGAATTATATTTATTCAAAATTTCATCAATACATAAACACAAAAAGAAAAACAAGAAACACAGAGGGGGGAAAAAGAAAAAAGAGGAAAAATATACAGCAAAAAATAGAACAAGAGGAAAAAAACCCAAAAAAGAAAGAAGAAAGATACAAATCTCAGATTGCAACTTTTCATTTGCTTAATTCTTGAACCTCCTCACACCTCCCTTTTTGTATTCTAGTTTAATTCGTTATTTCAGCAAATTCTTCCCATGTTTCTCAATTTTAATTTAAATGATTAATCTTCACAATCTCTCTTATTTATTAATCAAGATAACCTTTCCATCTTTTAATATAGTCTGTTATTCAATTTACCTTAATCTCTTTAACCTTATCTTATCTTAAAAATCTTAAATTTTCAAAATTTACATCATATTCATACATATCTCCTTAAAATCATTTCTACTAAAGCCAATTTAATTCCTTTCCAGCACATTCCCTCAAATTTCATTAATGTTGCACTAATTCCAAAATTAACAAAAGAATTTCCCTTGATATCTCTAATTTTTATCCAACGTCCCTTCTTCCTGGTTTCGGGTCATGTCAGTCCTTTCTGTCCATTACATCCAGTCCATCAATCTGGTGTTCTAATGTCCGAGGCCCTTAAATCTCTTCTAGGCCCCTTCTGCAAATTTTTTTGTTCCTGTTTGTGCTTGCGCACTTCTTTGTCAATTGTTGGTTTCTGGGGAGTGGGTCTCCGGAGGGTTCCATCCGGTAATAGTTTCCATTTTCCTTCATCAGATTGGCCCCTTCCCCCCAGTCCCACTCCCCGTCTTCATCTTTGTAATCCAAAAAATATTTATCCAGAAGATAGTTGTTCACCTGTTTCATAGTCCCACTAGAGTTAAAAGCTTCCTTGACTTCAAATACTTCCCGGCAGTCTCCAAGTTCAATCTTCCAACGCAGTAGCTTTTGTTCCTGCAGGACTTTGGATCTTTCCATTTGTGTTGTTTGAGGAGTAATCACTGCCTCTTCTTTCTCCATCTGCCCTTGGACTTGCCTTGTCAAACCAGGTTCCTGAATTGATCGCTGTATAACTTCTTTATCCTTATTCCCTGTTAAATCATATTCACTGGCCACAGCACTCATCAGGTCCAATTTTTCATGCATCAAGTTCATTTTCTCATGCAGCTGCTCCAGCAAAGCATTAGTCATGCCAAGGGCAGACACCAAACCTTCCTGCCAACACATTTCTGTTCAAAGTCAAGGTCAAACGGCTGGTCCCACGATCCAAATCTCACATCTGCAGAGTCTCCAAGTAAGCTGCAACAACAAACTGACGGGCTCACTCAAGGGAACACAATTTCTAATTGTATCCATTTTTAAAATATATCCAACAAAGGAGATTACTTTCGATTTCAATTCCTTTCGATTTCAAATACTTTGTTTCTTTAAAAAGCAGAAATGCAGAAAGTAGCGTTGAAGTTAATTTGTTTCTCTTTTTCTTTTCTTTTTTACTATCTGTCAAAGTGCTCCACTTTCAATCAATGGACGTCTCAAACAGCTTCTGTCCCGACACTCCATCCCCAGGTTTGAATTCCTTTACTCTCCTCCTGCAGGATTAAACAGTCAAATCCCCCCCCTTTTCTCCTGCTTCTAAGGGGGTTTTATTGGTTATGGATGCAGGAAATTTCCAACTTTAAAGCAGTTTTTCAGGCTATTAGGTTGCAAGGTCTTTGCTTCAATCTATATACAAAAACGGAAGGCGGACTTCCTGTTTACACCTTCCCGCTTCGTGCCTAATTCATAAATTTTGCAGGTTTCTTAATCCAATTCTCCGTTTTTACTCACGGGTGCTTGATTTAGAGTCCAAATGTCATCAGGAAAAAGTCAGCGCTCTCCGGCGATGGCTGCGTGGCTTCCCTCCATGGAAATAGCGATCGGTTCGCAGCACCGCGCTGCTCACCCCACTTCACTCCGGTGCCCCAAAAAGGGTTTCCTCGTGAGTAGGGGAGGCTCTCTTGGTGCTCTGCCGAACCCCACGTTCCCAGGCTTCTCCGCCTGGGATTTCTAGCGGGCCCTCACCTTCGCCGCGGCGGGAAGACCCAATTTCCACACAGCCCGTTCCTCCGATCGGAGGAACTCCGCCATTCGTCGTTGGTGCTGACCTGGAAGTCTCAATTAATCTATATATTCTATTGAACTCGACTCATAGAAAAGAAAGGAAAAAGAAGCAGAAATAATCATTTTTTTTAAATCCCTCTATATATTATCGTCAGTGTTTCATTGGCATTTTGTTTCTAGAACAATACCTGATATTTCATTTCCAAAAATGATTTGCAAGGGGTGAAACTTGACAGGAAATGCTACCTCTTCTTGAACAGTCCCAGAAACAGGAGGGCATCTTGTTACTGGAGGAAGTTGCAGGCAGAGCAAAGTTCTGTTTGAAACACAGAATCAGAGAATTGTGGAGTTGGAAGGCCCAACTCCCTGCAATGCAGGGATCTCAGATAAAGCATCCAAGACAGATAGCTATCCAACCTCTGCTTAAAAACCTCCAATGAAGGAGAGTCCACCACAATCTGAGGGAGTTCATTTGGCTTGTATTTTGCAGCAAATGGGCATAATATACAGTTGATGGAATAATATGCAGCTGAGAACCCAAGTATCAATCAGATTAGGCAACAGGAAACAAAACTGTTTATGTGAAGGAGATGAAGGTAAGATGGAGTCCAGTAAAGAATCTCATGAAGCTTCTCTCTTCTCCCTAATACCTGAAAAGCTTTTCCTACTTCCAGATTGATTCCTTTAACCCCCTCTTTGCTCACAATTGAAAGCAGTTCTATATGGGTGAAAGCCATGCCAGGAGCAAAATGTTCACCCCACTACATTATTGCCTATGAACAGCTTCCCTTTTTCTTGGGGCCATTGACATGGCACTTAGGTCTTATCTGGGTTCAATCTGGGCTCAGAGCCACTAGAAATCGTGAACTTAGTGCCTACTTCACTCAATGGTCTATTGTGACATAGGTTGGACAAGGCTTCATCACCATAGCAACCATGTCTTTCCTCTCACTTCATAATCCAGAGGTCCAGACTGGAAAAAAATGTCTGCTCGTTCTCTTGAAACAGAAACGTGTTTATAAGCTGCAGTTGTGAACCGACAATTTCCCCCCCATTTGACAGCAATGTAGGTTTTTTCTGCTCTAGGGCTGGAGAAGTTTAGTTCAGTTCACATTTAAAGGCAAACCTAACTAATTATCACTTTCTGAAACCATACTAGAACATAGCTTCACTGTCCTTTGAAATTTGTACTTCTCCAAATTTTGCAATTGATTTCTCTAGCCAGTAAAAAAAATACATACATACATACATACAGTGAAGTGTTCATGCATATCATCATCAATCATTCTTCTTCTTCTTCTTCTTCTTCTTCTTCTTCTTCTTCTTCTTCTCCCAAAGATCACAGGGCAGTTTACAATATCAAAACACAAAAATACACACTATAGCAGGGGTCCTCAAACCACGGGCCACGGGCCAGATCCGACCTGCCAGGGTCCTGAACCCGGCCCGCCCGGGCAGAGCTAGAGCCACCGCCTTCCCTGGGCCTTATTCCCGATGGAAGGAGGCGCAGGATCGGTGCTGCCCCCATTTCCCCATTACAAGCTCTGAAACACGCTTGCAACCAGGGCCACTCCGAGGGGCTTGCTCATGAACAAACGAGACGGGCGTTAATCTGATCCGGCCGTGTCACAGCGCCCCTACCTTGGCAGCCGTCTCTGCCCCTTGCGGGTCTCCTTGGAGGAGGAGGCGCCACGCCGAAAGCCCCACAGAGCAGGCTTGTTCCACTGGCTTGTTCCGCGGGAAGGGAGGAGACAAAGGCAAATCCCTCGCTTGCCCTGCCAGCCCGCCCTCCTTCTTGCTTTCCTTCTTTTGGGAATTGGGAAATAGGAGGAGAGAACAGATTGTGCATGTCCCCACTTCAAGTGCTCCAGGCTAAGTGACCCTTTGGCTGGATCCAGCTGCAGCACTCTCCAGATGTCCTCAGCCTCCTACCCTTTTATCCTAAGCAAGTTTCCAACCATTGTTCTGTTGGGATGCTGCTGGGGAGACGGGGGCATCAGGCAGGCCCCCAGCTGGCTCCAGCCACCGGCCGGCAGCTGGGTGATCTCCAGTACAGCATCAATCAGCGACACGAGCCTCAGATATGTTTAGAGACTCGTGCACGCTCTTATCAGCAGAGTGAATAAATCTTCTCACAATGGAAGAGGCAGACAAAGCCATGTGTAAGCATATTTACAGCATTTATTCAGCATAGTTCAGGAACAAAGGAAAAAACATGCCTGCTTCCCTTCGTGTCCAGCAAAACAGCGACAACACAAAAGCAATATACAAAAGGAAGTTCCCAGCAGACTGTGCTGGAAGTAAACAGGCATGTGACACACAACAGTCATGCCTGTACCCTTTTAAGGTGGAATGGAACTATATCCTAACATGTTCCACCTAGCTCAGTATTGCCTACACTGACTTTCAGCAGTTTTAGTCAGTCAGGACTTAATAGAGCAGCACATGAAGGAGGCTCTTTGTAAGATACATCCAACCAGTGCCTTTTTTTCCCTGGGGGTGGGGGAACGCAGGGGGACACATACCCCTAAACATTTTGTATTGCACTACAAATAAAATATGTGCAGTGTGCATAGGAATTCGTTCATATTTTTTTCAAACTATAGTCCGCCCCCCAATAGTGTCTGAGGGACAGTGAACTGGCCCCCTGTTTAAAAGGTTTGAGGACCCCTGCACTATAGTAAGAAACAATAACCCCCCCTCCCACAGTGTTTAAAAGGTCATAACCCTAAGAAATCCTAATAAAATTAATAATTTAAATCAGGCACATTGGTTGTGAGAAAGGGTTGCTTCATCATATAAATTACTGACATGCTGTGACATGTTTTCTTGGTTTAAATATATCTACCCTGCTTTCTCCTATCCTGGATTTTCAGAGGGGGTTCACCAGTTGATAGAGAAGATGTAAAAGATGCTGAAATCAATCTCGGGCATTTCCACCTAGGACTGGGAAAGAACTCTGTCTTAGGTCCTCAAGAGTCACTGCAGGCAATACATAGCATTTTGGACCAATGGTCTGACTCAGTAAAAAATTATAAATAAGAACTCTATCAAGAGAGAATAAGAAAATACTGTAGGAAAGGATGAGAATTCTTAAACAGAAATCCAAAACAGAACCATAACACAATAAATATATATTAGTATTATTATTTGTAATATTTGTATTAGCTTTCATTTTTATCCAACAAAATACATAATCTTCCTCTCTCTCCTACCACTTTGGGGCCTGTTTTAACAGCAACCACTGTTCTGAAACACATTGCTCTATTTTGTGCTTGCTTATTTGGTACAATTGTGCACCTCAATGAACAAAACATGTGAGCTTACTGAAGTGCTGACGGTATAATTGAAAGTGGATGCTATGATTGCACGTAATGAAAAGATGGACTCCTGAGGTCAGATGAGGAAGCTGAGCACTGGTGGAATGAGTAAAAAACAAACAGAGATCTCGAAGCAAATGTCTGCATGGGACAAATGAGAGTGCTTGTCCTTCACCTATTTTCCATGCTGATCTTGGCCATTTTATCAGATAATGAACACTAACCTTAAGCTTCCACTCAATTATAAGAAGATTCTGCAGTGTGCCTTCCTTAACATTCCTCCATTTTGCATGTCTCTGGCAAGACAATGATTTTGTCAGCATTTAACAAAATCTCTTGAAGACAAGTGCTTCCATTGGGCAAGAGGAATCAGCACTGTCTTCCATCCTTTCTTCTTACCTGTCCCCACTTGCTGGAGTCTTGACATTGACCCTGACACCAAAATAGCTTTCCGTTTCCTTGTCTGTCTGTCATTCTGCACATCTCTATTTTGCACAGAGTTGAAAGCCCAAGGAATTGCATAGATTTGTACCCCCTCCTCCTTTGAAAAGCTTTGTTCCTTGTCTTCATGTATGCAAATAATGTTGCTACTCACCAGAATGTATGCAAAATGGAAGGCACAACCTTCATTTTGATATGAAGAATATTCATTTCATTAAAAAATATATTTATGCTTTTCAGATTTATACATTTCACTAATTTTACAATCATTTTAATATTTCAAAACTTGACTTCCCCCTCTTTCTGCAGTTCCTTAAATTTATTTTTTAACATCTTCTGCATATCCAAATTAACTTAATTTGCTCATTTATTCATCTACTTTAAATATATACTCTTGTAATAACTGCAGGTTATGACAACAATCCTGCCAAAGCGCTTATCCTTTTACAATTTATCTGTAAATATTCAATAAACCATTTCCATTCTTCTATAAAAAGATTGTTATCTTGATTTCTTATTCCTCTGGTAAGTTTCGCCATTTCTGCATATTCCATAAGTTTTTGTATCCATTCTTCCTTTGCTGGGATTTCTGCTTCTTTCCATTTTGGGGCAAGTAACATTCTTGCCGCTGCAGTAGCATACATGAATAAGTTTCTATACAGTTTAGGTAGTTCTGTCCCTATAATTCCCCAAAAAACAATATTCATTTCAGGCTACCAAGCAAGGATCGTGTTGTCTTCATGGGTTCTGAAAGGATTTACATGATTGCTTAACAACATGTTAGCCTCGAGTTAATTTAAGTGGGGAGTTATAACAGAGTTATGTGCACTGGGTCCAAATGAAGGTTTTGTTCTTTTGTCATTCAGGGCCACATTCTGCGATTCAACATTTTTGCAATAGTGTCTGTTGCTGGTGAAATATTTCACCCAGCCTTTTACCCTTGATCAAGAGGGCTAAGCCCAGTCTAAGTAGCAGAATGCTTGATTGTCTATATGTGGATATGTAGCTATCCATCAGATTTCACACTTCTCAGAATGTGGTGGCATAGGGGGGAAACATGTAAAAATATGTTTGGAAAACCTTCACACTGTACAGCTGGTATCAATAGATTTTGACTATAGTTTTCTCTGCAAAGTTAACTCATTTGTTTTGTAGGGCTCCTGGACCGTCATTGAAAGGCTTATTGGATAATATTTGGTTCCCCTTTCTCTCCTTTATTAATGATGGTAGGCAACCCCTGGAGACTTACAGGAGCTGCTGGAGAGGTTTTCTTCATAAATGGAGCAGGATCCGATTTATACCTTCTATGTTCTTTCTTCTTGCTTGGTTTCTTAATTCCTGTCTGCATTTGAGAACGGTTTTATCAGTTATTGTTATAAAAGTCAATAAGATAATAGAATCATCAAATTGTAGAGTTAGTAGGTACCCCAAAGATAATTGAGTCTAAGCCCCTGCAATGCAGGAATCTCAACTAAAGCATCCATGTCAGATGACCAACCTCTGCTTAAATGCCTCCAATGAAGGAGAGCCCATCAACTTCTAAGGGAGTTCATTCCACTTTTGAATAGCTCTTACTGTCAGAAAGTACTTCCTGATGTTTAACCAGAATCTCCTTTCTTGTAACTTGAAGCCATTGGTTTGGGTCCCACCCTCTGGAGCAGGAGAAAACAAGCTTTTTTAATCTTTCATGTGACATTCCTTTGGCTATCACATCTCCTCTTGGGAGAAAAGCAATGACAAACCTAGACAGGATCTTAAAAAGCAGAGACATCACCTTGCTAACAAAGGTCCATATAGTTAAAGCCATGGTTTTCCCAGTGGTGATGTATGGAAGTGAGAGCTGGACCATAAAGAAGGCTGATCGCCGAAGAACTGATGCTTTTGAATTATGGTGCAGGAGGAGACTCTTGAGAGTCCCATGGACTGCAAGAAGATCAAACATGTCCATTCTTAAGGAAATCAGCCCTGAGTGCTCACTGGAAGGACAGATCCTGAAGCTGAGGCTCCAATACTTTGACCACCTCTTGAGAAGAGAAGACTCCCTGGAAAAGACCCTGATGTTGGGAAAGATGGAGGGC